ATTTTGCTTCAGACTTGCCATTCCAGTGAACAATTGTGGATTAAAGCAACTGTTCAGAAGAAGAAAATTGCATTTGGAGTGATATATAAGCCACCTAATTTTAATAATACAGATTTTATAGAGGAGTTTGAAGATGTTCTCGGTCTTATATATCCCACAGTAGATGGCATTATTTGTGGGGGAGATTTCGATATCAATTTTTTAGATTACGATAATAACAATACCGAAAAAATATTGTCAGTTATACAGTGCTTTGATTTAGATCAAATTATAGATGCCCCAACAAGAATAACTACAACAACATCAACACGTTTAGATGTAATTATAACTAAAGCTGAATAAGTTCTTGACAAAGATATCATTGACACTAATGGAGTTTCAGATCATATGCTCGTTTCCTGTGAAGTAAATATTAGGACTGATGAAGATAAGTTTAAAATTCATGAATTTAGGGATTTCAAATATTTCAATGAAGATGATTTCAAGACATGCTCCCTTGAAAACATCAAGAATAACTAAGAAGCGATCTTCTTGGCTAACTGGTACAATAAAAGAGATGATGTTAATAAGGGATAAAGCTTTCAGAAGATTCAAAAGAACTAAATCAGAAATTCATTTTCAGTTCTATAAGGACATGCGGAACGTCACAAATCAGGCGATTAAGAGAGAAAAGAAGGCATATTCTATTTCAGAGCTCAATAAAAAAAACAACAAAGATCTCTGGGAAGCCATAAAATCTAATGAGTTCATACCAAATAAAATTAACAGCATTCCAGAGAATTTGAAGAATCCCTCGCACTTAAAAGATTTTTTTGTTTACTCAATTCCTATTAACGAACCTCTTTCTATACTGACAATAAATTGATAGAATTCAACTTTGGATTTCAAGAAGTACATGATATGTTCGTTTTTGAAACAATTTCTGATATAAAAACAAATGCAATGGGATATGATTTACTGAATATAAAACTCATAAAAATGTGCCGTCCACATATAATTCCATATGTAACACATATTGTGATTTTTTGTCTGAAAAATAATATTTTTCCCACGGTATGGAAGAAAGCAATTGTAAAAGTTGTTCCAAAAAAAATAATCCATCAGAATACAAAGACCTACGCGCCATTAGTTTATTACCAACTTTGTCAAAAGTTCTTGAAAGAGCTATTGAAGTTCAGTTGAAAGAACACATTGACAATTTCTCTATACTTCCAATAACTCAATCCGGATTTCGTAAAGGACATAGTTGTACAACTGCTTTGTTGCATATAGTGGACGATATTATAAGAGCACGTGACGAAAAAAATAATACAGTATTGATACTTCTTGATTTCAGTAGAGCATTCGATAATATTAACTTCGATTTAATGTTATTAATTCTTGGCTCTATAGGACTCTCTAAAAATGCTATATCACTAATCAGATCGTATCTCACCAACCGTCAATAAAAGGTTACCATAGAAGGAAACAGCTCACAATATTTGAAGTTGATATGTGGAGTGCCACAGGGCTCTATTTTGGGACCCCTTTTGTTTGCTATTATATTCAGCTTCTTGTTTCAGCAATGTCAACTAGGTACATTCCATATTCTGTATTATAAAACACCCAATGGAAAAGAAATTGACATATATGTCCTGACTTTTATTTGAATGAATATGAAGATATATTAGAATATGAATTTATGAATTTCATAATATGAAATACTTGGAATTGAATGAAATTGAAGATGAAATTTAAATATTTGTTAGAAATTTGACAAATCATTAGAAAGTTTTTGGACATTTCCTTGATTGAAGTGCAACAGGTAGGAGTATATTTCACTCAAATGGTTGATATCAGTTTTTTTATGAGAGCATGAAGGTGATTGTGAGATGAAGGTCATCTTCTTTGTGATAGTTTTTTTCAGTTGCTAGTATTTTTGTAGAATAGAAGTCCATACAATGACCTTCTTTATTTACGTGATTACCCAAACCACATCTTTCTGGTCTACAATCACTTTTATGATATATTTTTCTATCTTTTGATGATCTTCTTGTTTGTCCAATATATTCTCCATTTCAGTTGAAGCATGATATACAATAATTTAGGTTGAAAAGTTGAAGTATTGGAGTTTTTTCTATTGATTTGGTGAATATAGATCCAATAGTTAAAACAGTCTCATTTGTAGTTTTGATATTCTCAAAAGGTTTGAAAATTCTGACCAATCTGTAATATAAGGAAGAAAGGTGTAGAAAATATTATTATTATTATATTGGTTCAATTGTGATGAGTAATTATCATTTTGTTATTCATCATTATTGTGTGAGGAAATGGATGATATTTAAATGTTAGCTTCAATTTATTTCAATTCCAAGTATTTCATATTGTGAAATTCATAAATTTAAATTCTTATATATCTTCAATTTTAATCATCTGTCAGTTTCTTTTCCATTGGGTGTTTTATGATACATCTCAACTAAGTGTTCTATGAAACTGGTTTTTGAGTTGCCTCAACTGAGTGGATTGGCACCACTGTTGAAATTTTGACCTTGATGTAAAGAATAAGCTCTTGTAGTTTCCCTGATGATGACAATAAAAAGTATCGAAATATTGGAATCAATGTACTAAAACTATTCTTTTGCATGCTGTTAGGTCAAATTATCACTTCTGTAGGGCATCCCGAGACGCACACGATTTTTTTTCACGTTTTCTTCGTTTGTCGGTGTGCCTGGGCATCAAGGGCGTTCGTCATCTTTAACGTCTTCACGGGTATTTTGGAAACGCGTATGAAACTTTTGTTTCACCCATAGCGAACTCAGCGTACTCCTTAGATAACATTTCATACATTTTCTCACAATTTCATATACTTACTGAAAATACAAACTCTTCGATTAGTTTTTTTCAACAAACCAAAATCGACAAACCCTTCAAATCACGTCCAACCTAAGCCGCTGCCATAGACAAAATGAACAATGAATACAGCACATTTCAGAGGCGTGTACGAGTATACCAACATTACTCTCCAAACCCGTGGAATCCAAAAATTCCTAATATTTTCTGAACATACATCATTTCAGATGTATAAGAATTGTCACTATGTAATTCATTAACATCGTTAATGGGGTGATCATGAGACAAATTCATTCGTGATATCAATTCAAACTATTCGGAATATACTCACAAGGTAGGATCATCTAAGAACTCGGTATACGCCAAAGGAAACCATCCACTGCACTGTGTCCGCAAGTTCTCTCCGAACTGCCATCCCTTATTTCTGTCTCCTATGAGGGCAATGAGGTCGCCTTCCAAAAAACTGAGTTGATTTTCGCCACTCGACAGGTAGGCGTAAAGTGCACGTGCCAGTTGAGTGTCCCAAGCAGGGGGCGGAGGGACGGCCATCGATTTCGGTCTTCGGGTGGGTGTGTGTCCATCTTGAAAAGAAGAAAATTAATGAAGGTTTGAAGTTTTTTCAAATCGCACACTCTTCTATCAAAATATTGATGAATAGCGAACAGCCGGTAATTCGTACGGGTGCAATTCAGAGTTTTATTTCTGTCATGTAACTTTCATAGCTTTTTATAACCGTCGTAACTTCTGAACGAGAAGTCTGATTCGAATAATTCTGAGAAAAATTTAAGGTAGATTATGAAACAATTCACTTTCTGATCTCAATGGGGCTTTCAATTGCCTAACATAACCTATTGCTGTCAAAATTGTACTCATATGATATTCGTGGATTTATACACAACTAGTTGGTGGATTTCTTCGTGTCTAGAAAACAATATAAGAGTATCTATTGAAACCACCTTTTCATCACCAGAACAAAATGCTGACTCTCGACGTGCGATTTGATAACCAAAATAGCATTATCAGGATACTAAAATAGTTTTCAGTCAATGTTAATGAGTCCCCGAGCTACCTAGTCAGCAACATGGATATTCGTACTCCGTCATCCATTGTAACGTTGCGGTATCATCCAAATTTCAACAAGATAAATTTTCCCAAAAAAAAGTATATGGTCGACGTAGGGTTCGAACTCACGACCTTTCAATTGTGATTCGGGCACATTATCACCTGCGCCAAGTCGCCGCTAAATATTTAATTTTCGGAGTGATATGTGGCCTTATGACTGATCAGTTTCGAGTAGGTGATGTATAACTACTTTATGAATGTCTCCAACACATCAACAAGGTTTGTAGTACTTGTCATTGAAATTTTCATCAGAAAAAACAAAATTTCCGTTCACGATTCTTCAGATTTCAAAATTATCCAGGATAAGCTGATGTTATCTCTATATTTCTAACGGAATCATTTATGTTGATGGGTTTTGAGAATTTAAGTATTTATGATCAAGTGGAATGTAACGATGTCTGATACATGGAAAATAATTCCAATATTGGAAATAGACATTCGCCTCAAAATGGGATTCTTGATTTATTATTTTATGAACCACAAATTCTCTCTTGTGAATTCTACATTTCATCATTTTCTATACCATGAAATATGTTATATCCTTTCCCCACTGGAACCATAACTGAATTAATAATATTATCATAAAACTGGTAACGATTTGAAGTCGAATCAAAATGAAAAATGTAGACATGGGAGTAGATTATATTATTTTCTACAAGAAGGAAATATTTCTATAATGCAGGCTATACTTCAATTATTTCAACATATGTTTCAAGAAATTAAAATTCAGTGGAGGTTCATGGATTTTTTCAGGTTTTCAACCTTCCTTAGTATGTAGAGAGAGTTTTTATTAGTCATAAATCTGTGTAAACTGAAAAGTTGAATCATCTTTCCTATTGTACACTTGCGAAGAAATGTACGGTAATCTCTTTGAGATCGCCTTGGTCGTAGTTCATATTCGAATTTCCATATTCAGTTTCATAAACTATTTTCTGTTTATGAGTTGAACGAGGTTCTTTTTTATTTCATAAAGGGATTCGCCATTGCTACCACTATCTTAGGTGTTTCTCAGGAAAAAATTTGTTCAAACATTTCATCAACAACCCGTTTTTGTCAATTGATGTGATCTATGGAAAATCAAAAAAATGCCGTCTTTGGTCGTTAATCGCCAGCGAATATGAATGCTCGAACAGTATCACTAAATTTCCATGTTGTGGGAAAAATCTTGATTCATCGCATTCTTGACGCTTTACTTGAAATTTAAAGTAATAATGGAATTGATATGAGGCAGCAGTTCCTAAAGCAGAGATCATTTTCACCAGCTCTGTCGGCAGCCGGGCGGTTACACGTGGGTGCTTCGTTCACTTAGTCAATCAGCCGATGTGTGAGTCGGTGGTTCAAACCCAACCCGTGTCAGGAATCACACGTTGAAAGGTAATATTTCGTTAGTTCTCAACTAGTAAAAGTTTCGACGATAGCTGGTTAACGGAAAAAACGCATACCACCGATCCTGATGATAATTTGAATTCAAGGACTAGAAATGTTCACGCTGATTCTCTGTATATTTATATTCATTTCATGAATTTGAAGAGAGGTAATAAACTTACTTTTTTCAAAGTTATTTTTCGAATTCCATAAGAAATGATTTCTTGGAGTGCCAGATCAATTTCATCAACCGATCTGTTCATCACTTATAATGAAGCGTTGGAAGATATGGAAGCAATCTGAAACATCCTGGGCTGCTTGCAGCCCAGCAGAAATTCAGATTTCAACACTCCGGCGTGTACTGAAGATTTTACCACGGACTTTCTTATCAGACAACAAATAATAAATAAATTTGTAAGTTATTTGTCCTCTGAAATCTTAAATTACTGCACTACAGGTGCAGTTGATGCACACACCACTACGGATTAAAACTCATAATATCGAATCGGGGACGATCTTTAAAACAAGGCCGCTTGAATTTCTTCACGTTGACATTTTTCCAAAAGTATGATTTTCTTTCTAGATAGATTCAAAAACATTGTTGAAATAAAATAATTCAGTTGGAAATTTTACTGTTCGTTGATTTTTTATAACATATATTGGTGAGTACTTTATCATCAAGGAAATATTTCACTACCCAGACAAAATCAAAATGAATCTGAAATAAATAATCACCATAAACTCACCATGGATGACTGAATGTTGTGATGAATTCAGGTTATACTCTGACTTTGCCCTATTTAATGTATTCACAGGGGAATCAGCATCACCGATAGAACGTATATCTAGACAGGAAGCGTCCATACTTTTAGTTTTTCTCAGTTGGGAGTTTATACTCATTCGGTCATCTTCAAAATTTGGACTCCTGGGATTGGAATAGAGGTCCTCGTCCTGCCACACGGAAATTTGCTGCAAAAAGTTAATCAATAAAAATATGAGTCATGTAATCGTTAATGTAGTTACATAACGTGAAATTATGAATGAGAACTCTTTGATACTTTCTCAGATAGGTTGGAATGAAGGCCCAAAAAGAAAATATTTTTACCATTCATAAATTGATAATGGTTGATTTTTAATAGTATTTTATATTGGGTAATCGAGAAATCACATTTTTTTCTGTAAAACTCAGAGGGTAGGAAAATATTGACATATTTCTTTTGAAATGACTATCACTTTCACTACATTTGGNTCCACATATGCCAGTCATCTAATCTCAGAGGGACATGAGTTCGACCATGAATACAAACCCCTCCATTTCCAGAAGAAAGGTTTGAAACTTAACCTGTTGGAGAGTATGGAAATAAACAAATTCAAAAACTCTCACCATCTTATGAACGATCAAACTGAATTGAATAATTCGCCTTTATTGAATTTGTTCACACGCAGGTAATAATAGTAAGGTATATTTATAGGTAGACTTTCGAAAAATGTATTGATAACTGACTTTTTCAGGTATATTTTTTCAGGTAGATTTATTACTTAGGTAGACGAATAGTAACTAGGTTAAAGTATATAAGGTGTAATTTATTAGTAACTTTAGCTATGCTTGAAGAAGCTATTGTATAGCGAAACACGTGTCGCGGTTTTTGTAAAACCCTTATAGTGAAAATCATGGATTAAACTCTATTTATTAGTTTTTTAAATATGGATTTTCATCAAGTATCGGCCAGTTCTATTCAATTATTCCTTCATCTTGCTGCTTCTGCTTTTGGACATACCTCTTGAGAGTCATCACTGATACATATCATATTTGGACGACAATCGTTTCGACGAATTCACTAAGACGTACAGGCCTTTTCAACTGTTCTGGGTCCATTCTCTTCTCATAAACCTCGTTTTCTGTATGCACACGGTATAATGCAAACTCTACAAAGGAATATGTCTTACCATAAATCACGACAATAATTTGAGAAAAAAACATGTGACCCACATTTGGGGATACTTGATCCAATAACTAAATCTCTCAGGTTGAGGCGTGTCATAGAGAAAATGAAATTTTTTTTTTCTAATTCAATTTGAAACAGCTCTGTAGTGCCAAATAGCGAAATATAAAGCATTATGAACGAATTGAAAAATAACAATGAGAATAATTTAACAATAATTTTTTTCCGGTTACAATCAAAAGAGGCCTTGCAGTAAACTATCGGGTTGTATATAGGCAAATACAAAGACGACACTGTTGCTGACAAATACCGTGTGTATAACAAGTGGAATCATTTGATGTACCACGTCTTTCTCAAGGATCCAATGTCATCAATTCCCTCTGACAGTATACGTTTAGAATGAAGCATTATTATTGAATAGAACTGGCCGATACTTGATGAAAATCCATATTTATGCTTGAAGAAACTATTGTATAGCGAAACACGTGTCGCGGTTTTTGTAAAACCCTTATAGTGAAAATCATAGAATTAACTCTATTTCTTAGTTTTTTTTTGAAGGATTATTTTCATTGAAATACCCAAAATGAAATATATCTGTGCACATATCCATCAGAGATTATTGTACACATAATATGTTGCTACTGAAATGAATATATGAACCAGGCTTTTGCAGAAATACTCGTCAGAGGTCTGTCCAGTCTTCTGGTACCTAATAATTTCTACCTCATATGAAAATATAGAAAACCGTCGATATCAATCCATTTCTTAAATCAGTATCATTTCAATCCAATCCAATATTTGAATGAAAGTTTCGAAATTGAATATGGCATCAACAGATAACACATCAACTTCAAAAGAATATTCCCCATTCACCTTTACCGACAAGTGTTTTCGCACAAGTACTATTTACAGCCGTCAACCCTTTCAATTCTCCCTCTTTTGTGGCACATAAACGGAAACGAGACGAAGGTGCTTTTATTCCCACAGATTTCTTCGCTGAATCTAATACTTCAAAAATTCTTCAGATAACAAAGTCGTTCATAGCTAATATTTATGTATGAAGAGAGATCGATGCGAATAAGGTCCACAAGGGCTTTTATTGGAATTGAAGTTTCCAAAGCTTCCTTTATATACTTATGAATAAATATGAGATTGAAGGGAAGCCGACGTAAGAAATTAGATTTGAAATATTGTCATTTATTGACAAAGCTCACATGAAGTGAGTAATGTTGACTAGTGGGTTTTCGTCATCAAAATTCTGATTAATGCATGGGTACGATTTAGAATGAAAAAAATTGGAATACTCTTAATGATATTTGTTGTACTCTATAGAAATAAAACGTCGTTGTATTATGAATCTGTTTCTGGATAGTTTTGAGATAATTCGTTAAATGAAAAATTTGCACTAGTATAGTGCAGATAGAATACCACGTCCATTCGAAATTTACAACCCGTTATTTGAAGGAATTTATAAACACTACATGAAGAATTTTAAGATATTGTGCAAAAAGTAGTGATTATGTCTGACTGCTTCTCTTTCTCAACATTCTTCTTAACATTCAAACGAAACAAGGCCTGACAAAATTTATCATTTCTGGATTTAAAAAAAAAGTCGATAGACGATAGACGATATTTTGTGATGAGTCGTTCAATAGATATAATTCTCTATCTATCTATGTCACCTTTTTATTTTTAGAAATATAATCTGCCGTCCCTGACCACCTGGTAGTTTTATATTCATTTCAAAAATTTTCGAACAAACGATGATTATCATAATTTCAAGATGAGTATTATCCGAAGCTCTGTCTAGTTTATCCAAAAAAATGTCAAGAGGTTTATCATTCTTCCTGGTAATAATGAAGTGAGTCTCTTCTCGAATTGATTTCTTACTGATATATCAATGTTTCTAAATTCTTGAAACTAATATAAACTTGCTAATTACCCAAAAACGACTAACCCGATTTCCAAAATTGGAAGTGTGTCGAATAAAAAATTTAAATATCAAGAAATTATGTACCCAAAAGAAAATGCAGGATAATCATCTGGATCCGAATGGAGAAAAATGTATTGGAGAAGGAGATGAAAAAAAATATTGAATACTTGAGAGACGATCCTTTCTCTCCTTCGTGTATAATTATGTTGTCGTCATCAGAATTTTCGTGGTAAGATATTTTTCACTTGTTCCAGCACGTCTTTCAATCCTGTGAACACTTCGCAAACGCGATTTTTGAGATAGCCTTAAGTTCTTTCAGAGATGCGCTATACTTGCGAAAATGGAGAATGCGGCATCAGTATTGTTTTTGGCCAAAAATTCACGAACAGGCAATGGAGTGTAACCAGGTTCATTATTGTGGTGCACAATCCATGAATCAATTTTTCACAAAACCAAGCTTATTTTTCGGATTGCTCAGTATTCAATGTGCGGTGGGTCGTACGATATACTGTTGACAGTGAGCATATAACATAAAACTATCATCGCTTTTGGAAGTGATTATGGAAAATTTGACGAAACAAGCAGAAGATGCAACAAGTCTACCACCGCAGCTGTGGTTGCGTCATTTACTTTACTTTCAAAACAAAATCATGCATCGGCTCTATTTTTGGGTTGGGTACTTTGGGGTTGCAGTCAGGTTTTTAGGGCTATTCAAAGAAAACTTTGAAAGAAAGCTTTTGGTGGTACTTACCACCTTCCTCAAGACAACTGTAATATATTCATTAACAATATGTTTTTATATCACAAACGGAACTACTTAATAACATAAGATTTAGACAGAAAATAAGTATCTCTCTAAAACATTCATTTTTCGATGGAAGTGACTAACAGTGACATTAATTTTATGGAGAAAAATTTTGATTGGAAGTATTTTTTTTTCTTTTTGAATAGCCCTCAAAACCTGACTGCAACCCCAAAATACTATTCTTCAAATCACGAATTATCCTGAATATATGCAGAAGCAGAAGAATACTCACATTGCACATTGATTTCAAAATTTTAGCATTTCGACACTTTTTATTGTCATCATCAGGGAAACTCCAAAGGAAAAATATGTGTATTTATATATTGCTTGAGTTTTGATGAAACTATTTACGGAAGAAACTAATTATTACAGTTTATTGTATGATTTTCACTATATCTGCTACTTATTCTAGTTTCAATTTATGCTTGAGAAAGATATTGTATAGCGAAACAAGTGTCGCCGTTTTTGTAAAACCCTTAATTTTCCTCTACGTCGGCATGTGTGGCCAGAAATCTGTGGATAACTTCACGCCAATATATTAACCTGGGGACGTTCGAGTCATTTATAGCGCGTCTTTGTTGCTCAGAAAAGATTACTGAGACTGATTTTCAATTTAAATCGCTTAGATAACTGTGAAGAAATTTTTGTAAATAGTATTTTTACGGTACCTAGTATTTACATATATAAATGTATAGTTTACGCGAAAACTAATATACTTTCTTTTAATACCTCTGCGGAAAGGCACATGTACGATACACGACATAAAAAATTGTTGTCGATACCTGGGCATAAAACAGCTGCATTGAAAAATCCTCTATACTATAATTGTATCATTTTATTTAACTGTGTTCCTTTGCCTATCAAAGAAATGAAGTTTTCATATAAAAATGAAGTAATAAAATATTTGAAGCTGAATGTTTTTTATAGTACAGATGAGTTTATAAGTAAAAATAAATGACCTGTCAAAGTGAAAATATGAGGAATGAGGAATCTAAATTATTTCCTCATTGTGTAAACTCTTTGTGCAGTGTAAATATTTTGTTTTGTCCCATATACACCTGTTTTTTTGTGAATTCGACAAGTACAAGTTATATTATACAATCATATTTTTAAAATATTTTTATGTGTAAAAATGTGATGAATCAGTTTTTAATCTGTCTTTATTTATTTTGTTACATGACTCTATAGTATTTAAGTGACGTGCCAAATGCACACTATTTTATCAAATATTAGTAAATAAATATTCTATTCTATTCTAATCAAAGCTTTTTCAAAAGAGAGAAGGAGAATCCAAAAAATAGATTCAACGTATGATACTCACCTCCTTAAAGAGCTCAATCATGGATTCAAAACTCATTTTCAGAAGAAAGTTTCAAAAATTGTCCTCATGAAAGAATGGAAGTCAAAGCGTCCAAAATTCCTAATGTCTAATGAACTTGGGTCACTTGATATATCTTTTTACCAGATAATCATGTTCTGACGCCCTCTAATAACTTATATGTGATAACTTATAATTTTGTGAAAGCTCTTTTCCAGGTTTTTCAACTATGGTCTGCAGGTTTTTCATACCTGATGTTTCGTTTACTGCGGTAAACATTATCAAAGACGATGTGGCAACGGTCGTAGTGCTCGAGTTATTGTTCCAATTGTTCCCGACGTAGATTTTTCTGCGTTGTTGTTTTCGCACCAACGCACTGCGACCGTTACTATATTGCCTTTGATAATGCCCACCGCAGTAGTGGACGAAACGTCAGGGATAGAAACCAAAATTCAATATCTTATATGAATGTGGGAAATGGCAACACATTTCTCATTGAAATCAATTGAAAAATTTCAGAACAAAATTGAACTACAAGGAGCCTACAGTCAAATTAAATAAACCAAAAAATGTTTAGAGATATGCCATCCTCACATGAATTTAAATTACGTACCTTCATTCATTTGGCCAAAAAAAAGCTCAAACATTCAAATTTGCCTTCCAAAATCCATTCTGACCAACACAATCATTTGACGAGATATTCAGACAATCTAAAATTCATTAAAATGAAAACAAATATTTGGCACAATTCGATTAATTAAAAAATTATCAATTTTAACAATGAGCTACCAAATGCTTCAAAAAATTTA